CGCCGCGCATCTTCCGCACAGTCCCGGCGCACACCCCCGCGCCGCCCCGTTTGGCGCTCCTTGCCCCGCCCACCGGGCGCACTGCGCAGGCGCAGCCCGGCCCTCCGGAACTTCCCGGGCGCTAGAGTGGGTGGGGCTGAGCTCGCGGGAGCGCGCGGGCCGTCGGCGGGGTCGAGTGTGCGGCGCGCGACCACTTTTCGCTGAACGCGTGACCGTCGCCTCGCGCGGGATTGAGCGGGCGTGGTAGGGGTCAAGTCCGTGTTGTGGGCGTCTCCGCCGTGGGACTGGCGATGTCGCCGTGCCCCGGGAGCTGTGCTGCCAGCCTTTGGCTTGCAGCGGAGCATGCGCCTTACCGAACCTTTGCTCCGCCTGCTACAGAAGGGAGGGGAAAAGGGCCAAAGAAGATCACCTCGCGGCTTTACTGGTTAAAAATAAACTCAAGGCTTGAGGATGTAAGGTTCTTTTGAGAAACTAATAATACTTAGTTTCTACAAACTGAATCATGACCCTGTGTAGCTCCCCAGTGTATACCAAAGTATGGTATTATTTGAATTGTTAAACCAGATCACATATTTTCTCTTAGCCTTATTAAGGTTACCTAAATGTTGAAACTACATAGGTCATTATTTGTTTAATGTCTTCTGTCCCCTAAAAGTCTGATTTTAGCAAGAATAATAATGAACTATGTTGGGCGTGGTGGCACACGCCTGTGAGCCCAGCAGTTGGGAGGCTGAGGCAGGAGGATCGCTGCAAGTTTGAAGCCAGCCTGGACTACATAGCAAGTTCAAGTCCAGCTAAAACTACATACCAAGACCCTGTCTCAAAAATAAAAATTAAAAACTAGTGAAAAATACCACCACTGGGATGAAATTATAAGAAACATTAGAAAAGACTGATTTGTAATGTTAGGAAGCAGATTAATGCTTTATTAGGGCGACAGGAATATTTGGGGATGATGGAAATGTCAGATATATATTCATTCGTCAAAATCAAACTACTCTGTTGGGGGAAGGGGTTGAGAGAAGATTTTGCTATGTAGCCCAAGCTGGCCTCACCCAGGCTGGTAATACTCCTGCCTCAGCCTCCTGAGTGCTGAAATTACAGCAAACTATATTTTCAATGTGTGCTTTTTTGGTTCATTATATCGCAATAAAAAATGTAAGTCACTTGGCCTGAATTTAAAACGGGATCCTCATTTTTTAATTTGTTTCTTCACATTTAGCAAAGTTAGTAATAGACAAAACAACTGTCTCTTTGGACTGTTGCAAAGAATGCAGGTGAAAAATGTGAGTCTTGCCTGGCACTCAGATGGTTCTCAGCTACCACAGTTTTATAACAGAAGCAGCAATAGTTTCTGTCTTTACCAGTTTTGTACCAGCATTGAGAATGAACGTGGTCCAGAGCAGGTGTTCAACACATAGTATAGAAAGTTGAATGAATGAGTTCCCCTACTCAGTATTCTTGATTCTCAAGAATGGAACCTAAATTCCCTAGCACAGACTTGGTCCTCAGTAGGTAAGCTCAGGCTGTATTTCCACGGTGTTTCGTTCACTGCCTTGTACAAACCAAGCTCCAGGTGTGCGCTGAACAGATGAATGGAATGCTGCTATAACAGGACTTTGGAGTCTATTGCTCCTCTTTCCTCACAGCTTGTAGAATTCCTCGTCCAT